CGACAGCCACAATGTGGCTCATCATGCCCAGGTCCGCCTGGTGCATGATGTCAGGCATGATAACGAGGTAGGGATTGCCCCACACGGTCCCTGGGACATCCCATTTCCAGAGCACACACTGGCGGAGGGGGTGTGGTGGGGAATGGTAGAGAAAGGTAAATGAGAGACTCGGCCAACACGTGGGGCAGTGCAATGGCAGTGCACATCTCCCCCAGGGCTTCTCAACACGGAGTGCTTAGACAGGAAAGTAGCGCGGTGGACAGGTCGCTCACCTCAACCGGGTAGGTCGAGTAGGTCTTGCATGGGTCGGCCTGGCTTGATGTCAACCCAGCCGCCTCATTCACGATCCATTGCTGCTGTTCAGGCGTGCGCGGCGTGTTCCGTGCCTTGACAGCAACTAAATGCTCCTGGTGTAGCACGGGGGGTGGGATGGGATGAACTGGTAAGGGTGAAAAAATTAGGAGGTCCGTCATGCGACAGTCAGATGACGATGGCGCTGAAGGCGTTCACATGGCATGTTTGCTCACCGTGGCAGCATAGCAGATGCTGCACGGCATCCGCGATCCATGCGAGAGTGTGCAACTAATCTTGCCGCTCTCGGGGTAGTCGCACACCCAGGCGTACAGCAGTGGCCGCACTGTTTGCCAATCACCGAAAGGGTCCCTGAGACGGAAGCCGCTGCAAGGAACAGGTAGAGTGGTAACGTCAACAGCCATGACGACTCTGTGCATCAGCGAGGAGGGGCAAAGGGTAATGCAACATACAAAAGCGCTGCGCACACTATGCTGTGCACACGGTGACGACATAGCATGACGGAAATCGAGTACGTACCTGTCCATGCCATCCAGAAGCGGCTGCAGCACGGTGAGGACGCATCGCTGGAAGAGCATCACCTTTTCAACAGCAGACATTGCCGAAGGGGGGATAGGAAGGAGAGCAAGTAGCGTGTGCCCGGCTTTCCCCCATCGCTTGGCCTGGGAGATGTTGGCAAGCGTCATCATGAGCGGCCACGCCTTCTTCCGGCCGTTGTTGCTCATGTGCGTCACATCCGAATATAGGATGATACCCCCCACGACTTCGGACCATCCGAAGTGTTCCTGCATGCACGACAAAGACGGAAAACCCCCACGGTCAAACACCACCAAGGTAATGTGTCGCCTGGCGGATTAAGCATGGTACATAACACTCCCCACTAACATGACGCACTGAAGATGCTCCCTCCACATCAGCGCGTCAACGGAGGACGGCGCACGCGTGTGGTTTTGGGTGGCAGCAGGGTATTTACATACCTGAGCATCGTTCCACCACGTTCCAGTTTCTGGCGTGGTATAGCGACGCTCGCCTGTGCCATGGTCCTCATCGACACAAGCCTTGAGCTTGAAGCCGGGCGCGTTGTTGGTGTGCCCAAACAGTTCAGCAAAAGCCTGGAGTATGGCATCAAGAGCGAGGGAGAACCAAACAGGGGTTTAGTGGCGGGAGCGGGGAAGGGTCGGATCGCACACATGGACCAAATGGAGGCGGAATCTGCATTTCGCAGCCACGCATCCACGACCGGCTTACCTGCGCAGAATTCTGGAAGAGGAGGCGTTGTGGAGGATGACCCTCAATCTCGAAGGTCGCCACTGACCATCCGCTATTGAGCCCAACCAAGCGCTCCATCTCGAACCTCTCCAGATCCTTGTAGTTCCGGATCTCGGAGATCACAAGAGCCGCAAGGCCGGGCTCCACCACGAGCTGAAGCAGGCCATTGATGTCGATCTCCGCCATGCTCATTCCGCCATTTACACGCCTCACGAAGTGCAGCAGCTTCACCGCAATCGGATTGAGGGGCGTCGCATTGCTCTCCCCGGAGATGATTGTCGGCGGGGCCGCGTGACTCACTCCAGGGCGGCACCCCGGAACCGCACTCGTGTCATCTGCAGGTGTTCCGGGTGGCGGTTGATGCTCAGATTCAGAAGCCCCCACGTTCCCAGCCGAGGGTGTTGCGTCATCTTCAGCTTCATGCACGCGAGGAGGACCATTCACAGCGTCGGTGTTGGACGCATTAGACGCGGTAGGTGAAGCGGGAGCAGCGGGAGCGTTCGACAGAATCTCTTGCACGAAAAGCAGTGCGTGTAGTCCGGCGGATGGTGCAGATTGCGAGGGCCTTGCCACGGCGGAAAGGCCTTGGCAAGGGGTCCGCCGTGACTTGTGACCGCCATAAACTTGGGCGTTGGGGAACCATCTAGTGCAAAACTCGTAGACGACGCCAGGTAAGGAGCCCATGCGGTACGGATCTGTCTAAGTGTTGAGGAATGGCCTGTGAAGCAACGAGCGTCGTGGGAAGCTTGAGAAGGCATTACGTACTCCGTGCAAGAAGGCTGGTAATGCAACACGGTCATCGCCAAACCGCGCACTGTTCAAGGCGGCTTGTATCACTGCACGACTGGCACTTGAGCGGGCAGCTTATGTTTGGACGTGCCTAACGATGTGCGCGCCGCGCGGTCGTGACAAGGCACGCTACATACCGCTCACATCCCGGGTCGTCTTCCCTACAAGGCGTGTCGCCCCCGTTTTGACAGACCACGACGTGAGCAGCGGAGAATGCGCTTGATTCTAAGACGGTAGGTCTTGTGTGTGTGTGAGAAGGACGTGCCTGTGGATTCACGCACTCTTGGTGCGTGAGAGTCGAGCGGGATGAGGAAGAGCGGGAAGAGTTCCGTTTGGATCTGTAGTTCAGTTGCGAATTGTTAGGGTGCATTCCTGAGTTGGTGGCAGGGCAACTGTTGGTGGCAAGCGCATTTTCCGACCCACTTGCCACCAACTCGATATGAACAGTTGCCCTGCCACCAACCAGGAATGCACCCTTATACGGGGGAGATCGCGCTCACGTTAGTGAGCTCATAGTGGTGAGCTCGACAACGGACAAAATACAGCGCAGGATATTACATTGTACAATTGCATTTAATCTATACACTAAACTCGTTGATGATAACTACTACACGGTCACATGAAAATGCCTGCTCGAGATCCACCCCTAGTTGACAACGTGACAGTCTAAAAACCATACAAGATCTCTAGTGTGGTCTGGCAACATACGGGAAGTACACAAGAACTTCGTGCCCTCACGATAACGCATCACCGATTGTGCGTTGTGGCTCTGCTTCATACCCCTTTAAGGCACCTACTTGAATGTCCGTGCAAGGTTAGATGACAATCCAACACCATACCACAACGGATTCGCCTGGTCGCGCAAGCCTTGTATGGATGCGAACGCAGCACCGTCGCCAAACTAAACAGCGATGTCGATTGCGCAACAACGCTCGTGCGTTGGGCCTGTGCTTCATCCCACACTCTCAATGCACCTGGCGGAGGGCCCATGCAAGAATGGAGCCCCATCCAACACCATTCCACAACGGATTCGCCTGGTCGCGCTAGCCTTGTATGGATGCGAACGCAGCACCGTCGTCAAACTAAACAGCGATGTCGATTGCGCAACAACGCTCGTGCGTTGGGCCTGTGCTTCATCCCACACTCTCAATGCACCTGGCGGAGGGCCCATGCAAGAATGGAGCCCCATCCAACACCATTCCACAACGGATTCGCCTGGTCGCGCTAGCCTTGTATGGATGCGAACGCAGCACCGTCGCCAAACTAAACAGCAATGTCGATTGCGCAACAACGCTCGTGCGTTGGGCCTGTGCTTCATCCCACACTCTCAATGCACCTGGCGGAGGGCCCATGCAAGAATGGAGCCCCATCCAACACCATTCCACAACGGATTCGCCTGGTCGCGCTAGCCTTGTATGGATGCGAACGCAGCACCGTCGCCAAACTAAACAGCGATGTCGATTGCACAACAACGCTTGTGCGTTGGGCCTGTGCTTCATCCCACACTCTCAATGCACCTGGCGGAGGGCCCATGCAAGAATAGAGCCCCATCCAACACCATTCCACAACGGATTCGCCTGGTCGCGCAAGCCTTGTATGGATGCGAACGCAGCACCGTCGCCAAACTAAACAGCGATGTCGATTGCGCATCAACGCTCGTGCGTTGGGCCTGTGCTTCATCCCACACCCTCAATTCACCATGTCGAGGGCCCACGCAAGAATGGAGCCCAAGCCAACACCACACTACATCTCCATTCCAGTTGGCACTAGTACACGTCGTGCTTGAACAACTTCCAACGACCAGTATCCGTCGCCCATTCGCAATGTGTGCTCAGTATAGCATTCCATAGTCCACGAGTTGGAAGCACAAAGAGTGCGTCCTAAGCCCCATGCACTCACTAAACTTCACACCATATGACACCACAAACGGCTATTCACTTCAAATTGTCTTAGTTGTACTTTGCAAGTGTATTCAGCTACACTATGTTAAAATTTGATCAATGCACTAGGCACTGTATTTTGCAGGATGTGATGATTGGTGGTGTCGAAACGGTACTATATTCCGTGGAGATTGATGCGTTGGCGCTGATTGGCCGACGCATCTCAAACGACCCTCCCCACTACCGCACCAGCCAAGCTGGACATTCGCCGCGGAAGCAGCGACTGTGATCAAGCGTGTAGTGCGTTTCTGATCGGGTGGCAAATCGTAGACCGTCCGATGGTGCGTGTTCTGCTTACAGTCCTCTCCATAGACTCGCAAACCACCCCAACTACCGTCGTGCCCCACTCACCAGCTTCCGTCACCCTCATACCCACTACCTTGACGCCGCTCGCTGCTGAACACAGGTGTTTCCAAATCGCCAGTTAGACGGAGTAGCGACGAAGGAAAGGGCTGACGCCATGTGCTTAGTAGCTACTAATTCAGGTGTAATTGTACCTTCCGATTTAGGGTGAAAAAGTATTGGCTTCACCGGGACGGGGTCAAATAGCAACAAACCTTTCCGGTGTTTTTTTTTAAACTCAGCTACCCAATCCCGCAATTTAAAACTTGCATTCGTACCACCCTCATGACACCTGCTACTCGGCAAACAGAAAAGCAGGAGGAGGCGAAACGACGCACGACACGAAGGATGTCGCATCAGACCGACCAAGAGGGTGGGGCCAGATCTAGGGCTACCAAAAAGGCCGCCGCGCAAACCAATCAAACGAAACGTGCGGCGGGGAAAAAGGCTGAGGTGGGAAAGCAGAAGCCCGGGAAGAAGGCGGAGGACAAGGGGAAGCAACCAACGGCACGCAAGCGTGTTTCGGCCGTCAGGAGCGATGCGGATGTTGCCACTGCTGCCCTCGAGCCCGGTCATTCTGACGACGGCACCATCGGCGGGAACGAAGACCCTGGGCGTGGCGGCGTGAGTGTTGCCGTCTGGTCGGGGGACAGAGAGGGCTTTGCGACTGGAGGAAAGCACGGCGACTCTCCCCGCCAAGATCAGGCCGCAACTTTGCCGTCCGTGGCAGAGGCAAAGCAGCAGCATCTGACGCTGCCCCCCCGCCCGTGGTCGAAATATCTGCTGCAGTGATAGATAAGGAGAAGGATGCTGCACACGATTGCACGGAGGGGCCGAAACACGACATTGCCGACGTAGGTGGATCTCCTCCCTCTGGGGGACGCGGGAGGCGTAGGCAGAGGAAGAGCAATGGTGAGGAGGAGAATGACACCCCCGTGGCTGAGGATATGCCCATACGCGCGAAGAGGAGGCAGACGACAGCCAGCGGTGACGACGCCGGTGGTGCTGAAGTTGGGACAATGCGAGGCACCACGGCGCCAAGTGGCTTGGCGACAGATCATGCAATGCGGCATAAGGTGGGATCCGGTCCGAGGAAACCATCTAGCGGACGGAGGGGGAAGCAATCTTCGGGGGGGAATAGGCCGAAGCGCGGCAAAGAAGGCCCTAGTGAAGCGGATGTTGAGGACGAGGGGGATGGGGAGGAGGAGGCCAAGGAGGATGCGGAGGAGGAGGACGAGGATGCAGGGGAGGGAGAAAAGGACGAGGATGAGCAGGAGGGCGACGATGATGAGGAGGAGGAGGAGGAGGAGGAGGATGAGGATGAGGACGATGAGGAGGACGATGAGGGGGACGACGAGGATGAGGAGCAGGAGGAGGAGGAGGAGGAGGATGAGGAGGAGGAGGAGGAGGATGAGGAGGAGGAGGAGGAGCAGGAGGAGGAGGAGGAGGAGGAAGAGGAGGAGGAGGATGATGAGGAGGAGGATGAGGAGGAGGAGGACGACGAGGAGGAAGAGGAGGTGGAGGAAGGGGCGGATGAGGAGGAGGAGGAGGAGGAGCCGGCAGGGAAAGGACGGGGCGCGCGAGGCGGGCGGGGGAGTGGCACAGGGAAGGTGGGGGGCCGGTCTGGACAATCCCGGAAACGCGGGGCGGGTGACGCAATGCGTGGCGGACCAGCGGGCAAATCGAAGGTGCGTAAGGTGAAGGTTGAACTTGACCGGGGTGGAAGGAAGCAAGTGAGACAGGGAGCTAAAGGCGATGGAGACGGAAAGGGACCGCGCGCGAAAGGGGTACCTGTGGGTTCGGCAAAGAAAGAACCTGCCCGTAAACGAGGCAGCACCCGCCAAAGCACACCGCGGAAACGAGGCAACGATAAGGAGCAGGCAGCAAAACCGAAGGGACAGCAACGTTGTAAGCAACGTGTCACAAACGAGTGGCATAGCTGCCGCGGTTAGTGCTGAACAGACCCTAACAACACCGTGTTCCACCCGTCTTTTCCTGCCGCAGGGAAGGAGAAGGTTGACGAATCGGCTAAACCGGGTAAGGCGTGACTATACACTACAGTTCCGTGCTACACCCATGTTAGAATCATGCGGTTGCTTGTCATGTTTGCACGTGTCCTAGTGCACCTTACAGACACCAGCTCCGTGCTCATCCTCCGTGTGACTCTCAGCCCCCCGTGTTACAGGCATTTGGCTACCGGTAACCGTGCAACGGATGCAGCTAGCGAAAGGGGCCGGAAGAGCGAGTGTGGCACCGCTATCCACAGGAGGACCAAGGTTCTTCACGCCATACTCCGGCCCGAGCAAAGTCGCTGTGACTGCACCCGGCGCGGCAAAAGGCGAGGAATCCGAAACCCCTCCACCAGCCCCCGTCACGCACTACCCACTCGCCTCTCCCTCATACCCATTTCGGCCACTTCACGCTTCTCCAACCCGGGGCAGCGCGGTCTCCCCCCTCGCCGGTCCATCGCGTGTGCATCAACCAAGCACCTTTGCCAATCCCTTCCCTGAGCTTCCCTTTTCCCGCCAGCGTGATAGTGTGAGGGCACACGGTGCTGCTGCAGAAGACGTTGATCCCCTTGGCCAGAGAGGGGTTTCTACACACCCTTTTCCGGATGTCATGGATGCGCTGGCTGAAGGTGCAGAGCACGGGCAGTTTGTTACACGAGACGAGTTCCAGCAGCTACGGTCTGAGATGTACGCCATGTTTGCTCAGCTCGGCCTGCGTCGGGGAGCAACTGCCAGCTATGCCGGGGGGGCCGCAGTGGTGCCGATGGGTGGTACCCCGCCGCCGATGAGTGCCGTGGACAAGGCACGTGTGCTTGTGCTGCAGGAGACCAACCCATTCCCGGTATGTGGCGGGTTGGGGTTGACGTGGCAACCAGGGCAGGGTTGGGAATGACCTGGCGGTTGGAAAGGGTGCGCGGGAGCGGTGCAGGGCGACACGTGACTCCACACGTGGGCGGGGGCTGACGTGGCTCTTTCGGATCTCTGTGTGCGACGTGGCTAGTGGGTTGGGTTGGTGGGTTTAGACGGCGGACGCAAGAGGGTGTGACGTGGCGTTATGTGTGGCTTGGTGCTGACGTGGCACCTTGGAAGGGCACACGGGAGCGGCGCTCAACGAGGCGCCGCGTGTCAGGTGGGTGGGGTGTGACGTGGCATGGGGTGGGCGGGTGTGACGTGGCACGTGGGGCTGGCTGCTACCTGACGTGGCGGATGCAGGAGGGTGTGCAGTGGCGGGATGTGTGGCTTGGTGCTGACGTGACGGCTTGGACGGGTACACGGGAGCGGCGCGTGACGAGGCTACACGTGTGCGGTGGGTGGCTTGGTGACGTGGCATGGGGTGGGCGGGTATGACGTGGCACGTGGGGCTGGCTGATCCCTGACGTGGCGGACGCAAGGGCGTGTGACGTGGCGGGATGTGTGGCTTGGTGCTGACGTGGCGGCTTGGAAGGGCACAAGGGAGCGGCGCTCAACGAGGCGACGCGTGTCAGGTGAGTGGGGGGTGACGTGGCATGGGGTGGGCGGGTGTGACGTGTCACGTGGGGCTGGCTGCTCCCTGACGTGGCGGATGCAGGAGGGTGTGCCGTGGCGGGATGTGTGGCTTGGTGCTGACGTGGCGGCTTGGTAGGGTACACGGGAGCGGCGCGTGACGACGCTACACGTGTCAGGTGGGTGGGGGGTGACGTGGCATGGGGAGGGTGGGTGTGACGTGTCACGTGGGGCTGGCTGATCTCTGACGTGGCAGACGCAAGGGCGTGTGACGTGGCGGGATGTGTGGCTTGGTGCTGACGTGGCGGCTTGGAAGGGTACACGGGAGCGGCGCGTGACGACGCTACACGTGTCAGGTGGGTGGGGGTGACGTGGCATGGGGAGGGTGGGTGTGACGTGTCACGTGGGGAGGGTCTTTGGTGGATTTGGCGGATGCAGGAGGGTGGGTGGGGGGTGACGTGGCATGGGGTTGGTGGATATGACGTGGCAAGTGGGGCTGGTTCCTCCCTGACGTGGCGGACGCGGGAGGGTTGGTCACGCGGCCAGAGTCATAATTGATGGTTTCTCTCTCCCCATGTCGTGTTGTAAATCCACACCCATGCGCAGAGCAAAGCCTACTTAGTGTGCTCTCAGCTCCTGTTTCTGAACCCCCCGGAGAAGATTCAGTATTACCCTGCACCGGAGGAAGTGTTCGAGGCGTTCGCTGTCCACTTGTCTCACGAAGGGCTAGAGTCAATGAAGCTGCTGTGGTTGCACAATGACAAGTCAACCATGGGTGTCTTCAACCACCAGATGTCATCAACCAGGTCAACAATCAACAACACCCTCAGGCTAGCAACGTACGCCGGCATGGGTCTCTCCGATTACGCCAATGCGGTGGATAGCCTGCCCACTGAGCTACGCCCGGAGAAGTGGTTCAACGACGAGCAGCTCCTGGCCGAGTACAGAGATGGTATGTGCGTCTCAAACACACCATATCCCCCTGCCCATAAGCCAGTCAGCAGCTACAAATAACCGTGCCGTGGTACTCTGACCCTGTCTCTCACCCCCCCACTTGATCTATCTGCACCCCCTTTCCAACCCATACGCTCCCTCCCAAAATGCAGAACAGTGGACCCTCAACTGGCACTTTGACAAGGCCACCGGAACGCCCTTCAGCAACCCCTTGTTTGCTTATGCGTTCAAGCTCTCCTTCAAGAGGAGCGGGGTCGTGTTCACCAAGTTCAAGAGCCGCATGGTGGCATGGGGCCTGTTTTCGGTAAGGAGGTAGATAAGTGACACTACACCCATGCCTCATCCCCTAAACCCCTCGCCTGTACTTCATCTAAAACCCAGGTCGCTTAGGCGTTTGCGGTTACGTAGGGTGTGACGTCTTCACTGCTTTCAGTTGGATCATATGCCCATAACCTCCCCTCATACACCATCCACCCAACCCTACACCACATTGCAGATCGAGTGGCCCCTTCTGTAGGACAAGCGCCGCAAGCGTATTCCGGCCCAGCCGGAACTAAACAGGCCGGACTACTTCGAGTGGTGTGACAAGGTCAAACAGATGATACACTTTGCCGTTGTGGAGCGACGCATCCCACACGATCCGGCTCAGGGTGCGTTCGTCTTCCCGAACAAGTTCCTCATCGACGATGGCGACCTTGGAGATGTTTTTCTTGCCTATCGGGGGCTTGCAGGGCCCACCATTGCGTAGACTATTTGACTGGGTGTTAAAACTGCTGGTTGTTAGAATGCTGAATAATGGAAGCTGTAACCCGCGAATATTGAATGTAATTCTGAAATCCTCAATTCCCAGAATAAAACAAAAACAAAATCCATTTTTAAATGATTTGGTCACAAAACTGACCCTAAACGGATTGCGCGCGAATGTCAGCCGGAACAGCACGCGTGCCAAATTGGAACTTGACCCGAGCCAAGCCTTATCGCGAGATGTGTGTCGGAGCTCCTATCAAATGACTCAAACCGTCGGTCGAAATTCGGTCCCGAATTTTTTACGCGAAGACAATCCCGATCAAAATTCGTCCAAACTTGGCATAGGGTTTTTGTGATGAGGCATACCCCAAGGAGGAGAGTCATCCCAAGGGAGGGATGAATTTCTCCAAGAAGAGGGGAGCTCTTGCATCGCACCTCAATTAACCATGCAAAGGGAAGCAAGGGGGAGGGATGACGAGTACGGGAGTGGAATGGATACAAGTGAGTGTGGTGATAAGATTGGCATGGGAAGGAGCATGAGCGGGCAGATTGGTGAAGGGAATGGCAGATTTGGTCACGTAGGAGTGGAAGATGGCTATTGGTGCTCCCCCATTACAACAATTGGCCACTAAATCTCATCCCATTGGAGTTTCCATCTTACCCTCTTGGAGACAACATCGTGCCTCCCCATGCATCACGTTCTCAAATGGGAGCTGTACCCGCACGGAGCATGCGACGAATAGGACACGGAATGCACTCAAGTGGTGTTATGCGGCCTGATCGCGTAGATGTGGTGGAACATCGCTCGTATGGTCAAGGTGGTAGAACACAACGCACGGTTCAACTGCCAAGCCCATCCACAATACCAACGTTTTTCGACCCGTCTCCACGCGAGTATATGGAAGAAGACAAGGTGAGGGTGTCACGCAAGATGGTGGGAGCAGCGGTCGACAAGGTGTTCAGAACTACTCTATTTGACGGCACAAACTTTTGGGAGTGGGCACTTCGGTTTCGCATAAATGCGCGCGTGACAAACCTATGGGAGTTCTTTGTGACGCACCAATACCTGGTTACCATGGCCAACGGCAACATGTAAGACGCTATGGAACGGCTAGAAATTTTGCAAGCGGACTACTCACAACGTGCAACGTTGGCATTTTGGGTGCTGCTGTACAACATGAGCGCAACAATTCAGCTACAACTGGATGTATTTTAAGAATCATATAGCCCGACATTCGAGGCATGAGAATACCTCATAGAAACTTACCAAGTCAAGGATTCAGTGGCAAAGATATCCCTCTAGAAGCAGTTGGAAATCTGAAAATGGGAAACCAAGAGAGGGTGGAGGGGTACATCAATTGAGCAACGACAATGCGAGACAAGCTGGCGTTGGTGGGGAAGCTGGTGGATGAAGACACGTTAATTATGAATCTGATTACTGGCCAGCAAACGACTGTTGGGGAGAAATCCGATGGCAACGACAGAGGGGGAGGACGCTCAGACCTCGTGTGCTGGTATCGCAAACAATCTGGCCACTCGTTCTACAAGTGTCCCAAGTGTCCCAAGGCACCTCCGGGTTGGTCACCACCGGGGTGGGAACCACAAATCAGAGGGAGGATGAACCAACGCACCGTGAGCAACCGTTGGGCCTCACCTCAAAGGAGTGGCAGCCCCAAGCGCAACAACAATGACACAAAACAATAAGGGACGACCGGAACGAGCAGCAAACGCGCCGTCACCTGTATTGCAACCATCAGATCATTACAAGTTGCTTTCTCTGTCTGTGGTTGGAGATTCCTTGTGGTTTCTCGACAGCAGATGCAGCCGGCACATGACGTAAAAGAAGTGTTGGTTTGAGGAGTTGAAGGAGCTGGACGAACCTGTTTACGTAAAGCAGGCTGATGGGAGCAACTTATGGTGGGAACAATCCAAGCAATGATACCTGATGGAACAACAGTGCGCTACACGGATATGCTCTACGAACCCCTGTTGAAGTCCAACCTTCTTTCCTACTGCCAGCTGAAGAAGTGTTGGTGCAACCCCATGGTTTGCACTCGACTTGTTGTCCTTGTGCGTGCATGCGTGTGTGCATGGTATGGTATGAGGGCATGAGAAACAATATATTTCATGCTTATAATAGTGTGTGAATGATGAGTCATGATGTCGAATGTATGTGTCGAGTCAATAGAAAATTATCGCTAGTTGCGTGTCATGTTGTAGTTTCTGTGTCATGCGAGTTTTCTATTTTGTCGTGTGTCGAACGTTCCACGTTTCGCAGGTGTGCGCAGCACACTTCCAAGAACTCAAGGAGAAATTATCTTGAGGAACCAGAGCCTTGGTTTCAGGATTCAAGTGGTTTCCAAGCTCGCCAAAAGGATAAACTTAAAGATAGTGATATTGGTTACATTACAATGTGTTGTGTAGCATTTCTCTTGGTGTAGGCTCTTGTGGAAGGCCGTCTTGAGGCAGTTTCGTGGTTGGGGACAGTGTGGCACTGTTGCACATCATTGTATCTCGGCTCTTAGAGGTTTGTAGGGGCTGGGAGGCATTCCCAACTCACAACTCTTCCTAATTTGTGTTCTAAGACCATAGTGGCTGCCGTAATGCCGTTCGTTCAAACTTACATTGCGTTGTCAATACTTGATGAAATCATGCAAATTAAATTGCCTATTCTAGGCCACATTACGACGTTCTAGATCCAATATATAG